TCAGTCATTATTTGTACAAATTTTGTTTTCCGTTAAATTTTCCCGCCAAACTGGAATGACTCTTCAACTGTCTGTTTTTCTTAGGACTATGTGCGAACATCGACATATCAACGTGCCATCTTGGCCAACGCATCTATCGATTTCCGGGGCAAAGTTGTTCTGGATGTGGGTGCCGGGTCTGGAATCCTCAGCTTCTTCGCCATACAAGCTGGAGCCACTAAAGTTTACGCAGTTGAGGCGTCGAATATGGCCGCACATTGTAATACTCTGGTTCAGGCTAATAAACTTGCCGGACGAATTGTGGTTATCAGGTAACCAGTTGAGTTTTTCTGTTTTTCATTTAATANNNTAATAATTGACTAGTCTTAGTAGCACCAATTTTGTCTTACTTGTCATTAGTCGCTACTGTTGTTGCTTTTTGACTACCGGGTGGTGTCATTCTGAAGACTCGTTCCCAATCAAAGTGGTTGCGAACGAACGTCAGTGTGCTTTTAGCCTATCCTAGCTCAGCAATACTGCCTTAACTGCATACAGTAGCTGATACAATAAAAGCTACAGACGCCATAATCCAATAATATACCGTAATTGGAAGTGTGAAGAAAAAATTGAAGATACAATCGTCTTGTTGATTCCTTAAGTAGGGCAGAACACAGAAGAGAGGTGAACTCTCCCTAGTTTTACAATTCTTGTGGAAAATTTGATTGGAGGTTAGAAGTTAGCCTCATGGTTTGAGCGATTAACCATTTGTGCACAGTGTGCAATAAGAAACAAGTGACAAAGGAGGGGGGAGTAAAAATGCAATGGGTTTCACGAAAACCACAATAATAGCGTTGTAGTTAGGATAGAGGTGTAATTCCGCGATAATGAACTACTGACCGTCCGGGACGGGTCACTGGTGAAGCGAATGGTCCCTCGTTAATTTGACTTTCGCTTGATTTGTAATTATATAGGGAGGACAAGGGAAAGCTACTACTCAGACGGGGTAGCATATGCAAAATGCACGGGGTAAAGTAAGGCAACGATGGGTCTCGAACGTACTGCTCTCTGTCTGATGTAGTGGTTATTAATACCGTCTAACCTCCACTGCCTGAGATTGAGAAGTAGACGGAGCTTCACTTCAGTCATCATGCGAATTTGAGTTCTGACAAACGAGGAATTTTCGTGGAAAGTATGTCTTACGCGATAGCCAAATTCGACAATATGCACGAAACGAGCGCAGTATGATGACTGTTAAGACAGCAAATATTGCTGACGGTGGTTTATCAGATTTTCTGTTCCAGGTGACAATCATTGATCTATTCCATGACTTTGGGATAACTAATGTGAGGGAGAGCACGATAGTTCT